GCAAAAGTGAGGCCCTAAGCAACTCAGTGAGACTATGTCTCTAAATAAAATACAAAAAAGGGCTGGGGATGTGGCTCAGTGGTTGAGTGCCCCTGAGTTCAATCCCTGGTACAAAAAAAAAAAAAAGATGGTTTGAATTACTCTGTGTTCCTTGCATTTCCATATAAATTTTTGGATCAGTTTGTTAGTTCAAAGCCAGCCTAAGCAATGCCAAGGCACTAAGCAACTCAGTGAGTCCCTGTCTCTAAATAAAATACAAAATAGTACTGGGATGTGGCTCCATGGGCGAGTGTCCCTGAGTTCATTTCCCAGTATCCTCCCCCCAAAAGAGTAAATGAGACCCCAAATGCCAACCTAAGCTGAATAGTTGACTGCCCTGGGAGGCAGACCTAGAATATGACGAGGAATTAGCAAAGGCTAAATCAGTAAGTCAAATTCCTTATGTTGTGCTGTGTTTGGGGAAAGAGTGAAATCAAAGAGCCTGGTGAGCCATGGAAACTTCCAGAAAAGTGAGACCTGGAAGCAGAGGTTGGTGGGGCCCATGGAAAAAATACCCAGGAGGACAGAGTGCCTTATCTCAGGATGCTTGGACATCCTTGGTCCCCTAGTAAAGAGGAGGACTGTGGGACTTGGGGAGTGTAAGCAAGGCAACTGGGACATGCAGCTTTAAAGAGGGACTTACTGTCAGAGATACAGAAGTTCAGGTGGGCACTCAAGTGTGAGTATTTTCCTAAATGAACCTGAGGTGCCTGACTGGCTTTCCATAGACTCCAGACCTGGCAGCATCTCAAGCCATCAGCTCCACACTTGGGAGGTGCATTTTACAACTCTGCTGTGCTGCTTGCTTGTCAGCTCTAGGATTCTGAACCAGTTCCTTTACTCTCAAGCTCCAGTTTCCTCATCTGTGAACTAAGAGTGCAGTTCCAGTCTCACAGAGGGGCCAATGAGGAGGAGGCCGAGCACTGAGCATGGCGTCTTCAGCACATGGTTATCAGCTTGACAAGGCCCCCTCTCCAAGAGGAGAGAGTCCTCATTCAGGCTTATCTAGGCCATGTCTGCTAAGGTCATTATATTGGATGCTGTGCATACCACCCAGTGGAAAGAGCTGCCTCATCCAAGTCTGCTCCCTTCCTGGGGCAGCCCATAGCCAATGTCTAGTCACCTATGGGTACAAAGGCCCAGGCCCTTGCTCTGACTTGGAACAACTCTGAAGGGCCACCTTACTTCTGATGCCCCCAGGGTATTAGTTGAAGCCCTTCAAGGATGGTACCTTGTGGCCCATATTCTGTTTTGTCCCTCCTTCTTGGCTCTTCTGCCCTGGCTTCCCTGAAGGCCTCCTCCCAGATGTTTTTGTCAGATTTTTTTTTTCTGCTGTAACTAAAGGACCCAACCAGCACAATTGTAGAGGAGGAAAAGTTTATTTGGAGGCTCACGGTTTCAGAGGTCTCAGTCCACAGCAGGCTCCATTCCTCGGGGCTGGAGGTGAGGCAGGACATCATGGAGGAAGAGTGTGGCAGAGGGAAGCAGCTCATGTTGATGATCAGGAAGCAGAGACTCCACTCTCCAGATACAAAACTATACCCAAAGCCACGCCCCCAATGCCCCCCTCCTCCAGCAACAGCCCCCATGCCTCCAGTTACCACTCAGTCTCATCCAGAATTAATTCTCTGACTGGGTTAAGGCTCTCACAACCCAATCATTTCTCCTCTGAACCTTCTTGGATTGCCTCACACGTGAGCTTTTGGGGGACACCTCACATCCAAACCAGAATACCAGAGCTCTCCTCCACAAACTTCTCCATGTTACCTGCTAATTCATCTTGGTGGCTTTGCTCACTGGGGTGGAGGCAGCCTGTGATAATCACTGCGTCTATTTCTGTGCTCATCATGTTAACCTGGGATTCTTTGGATTGTAAACGTAAGGGAAAAAATCGTGTGTTGGATTGCAGAATCTCAGGAAAGTGGAGGGGTGGGAAGTGTACTGGTACACTGGCTTCCTTTTCTCTGCCCTGTGACTCTCTCGTGCATGCTGTTCCCTCTGGTTCGCACCTGCCTCCTCGACACAGTGAGTGGGATGTACTCCTATGCAAAGTTTCTCAATGCTGCATGTCAAATCCCAGGTCACTTGAGAAAACTGACTCATTTCAACCTTTGCATATTCCAGGGGAGAGTTCTGATTGGTCAGTCCCAGGTCAGGTGCCACCCTGCAGCAATTATCAAAGCCCAGTGACCACTCCCTGAGAACAGCAGGTTTGGGCAGTTCACAGAGGAAGAGGGGACTGATAAGTACCTGATGCTTTTGTCCTTGCTCATGCCATTGTAAGCATGTGTGACCACTTGTAAGGTAAAGGTAGTGAGAACAGGAGATAGAAATAGGTTAGGCAGGGACTGGGGCTGGGGCTCCGTGGTCAAGCACTTGCCTAGCATGTGTGAGGCCCTGGGTTCAAGCCCCAGCACTGCATAAAAATAAATAAATAAATAAAATAAAAGTTCTGTGTCCATCTACAACTAAAAATATTTTTAAAAATGTGCTAGGCAGACAGGGCTAAGGACCCCACCTCAGAAATTTACATGGGGTACACAACTTGTGACCATCTCCATTGGAGCCTGAATATATGTGCCACAACCCCCAGCCTGTCCCTGAGGTGAAGTGGTGTGTGATGAACATCCGGACAGTGGCAACACCAGGTGTCCTGGTGTGACTGAACTCCAACACTGATATCTTTAAAATCTCTCGCCTATGGTCTTCAAGGCCACCTAACTGCCCTCTAACATTATCATATATAGCCCTAGACATTTAACTCCTGAAGGCAACCCTGGTTTGGGACCCCTTTCCCTGTGGGAGCTCTGCTTTACTTTCTTTCTATTTGAAAAATCCTGTTACTTTGCTCTCATCCTTTGTGTCCATGGATCTCATTCTTCAAAATTGCCAAAGAAGCAAGAAATCCCTGCATCTTAGTAGGATGGGCAGGGACATTGACTTCCCTCAGAAGTTAAGGCCACTCTCAAACAAGGACAGACGGGAATCCATCAAAAGTCTAGTTTCCTCAGGCCAGGTATGGTGGCACACTCCTATAATCCCAGTGGTTTGGGAGGCTGAGGCAGGTGGATCACAAGTTTAAAGCCAGCCTCAGCAAAAGTGAGGTGCTAAGCAACTCAGTGAGACCCTGTCTCTAAATAAAATATAAAAAGGGCTGGGGATGCAGCTTAGTAGTTAAGTGCTCCTGGGTTCAATCCCTGGTATCCTCCTCCAACCTAAAAAGAAATCTAATTTCCTCATCCTTCAGGTAGGAACTCCAAGAGGACCTATTCTGCCTACCACAGATCCCCACCAAGAAAGAGCCCTAGTTGCCCACAGTGATAACATACCCACAGCTCCAGGACTCTTTCTTTACTGCTTCTCCATTTTCCTGGCCTAATATTCTACTTCCTGCTGATATTTCCCAGAATTACTTCCCAAGTAAACTACTGTCACTCAAATCCTTACCTCAGGCTTTTTCTTCAAGGGAGACATAAACTAGGACCCTTGTCTTCCCAATGTGCCTTGATCATTGGGCCACGTGTGTGTGACTTAGGCTCAGCCCATTAGATATAGATTTGAATGGGGAGGAGGGGTAGGGACAGTGGAAACTAAACTGTGGTGGTAGCCATAGTGGCTGAAACATCTGGTTTCCAGCAGACACCAGTGAACAAGGGAGTGGAGGGTTTGTCATCCATTGGCATTTCCCGTGGTGCTCCCACTGGCTGGGGTGGGCTCTGTCTCCCTAGCTGTAATCTTACCACACCTGCTTGCCAAGTCAGTTTTGCAGGCTGGTAACTTGGTGCATTACCTAACATCGCAACAATTCCTTGAAAGCGCCAATCTTACGAGACTTGATTCTAAAGCCCAAGCTACATCAGGGAACGTGGCTGCCTGTATCATTTGCTCATAGGCAGAGAATGCGATCTTCAGGCCAGCGGGAATGTCTGGCATCGCTTCGCATTAGTCTGATTAGTCATCCCGGTTGGTGGAGTTAAGTCTCCGTTGAGCTGGCTAAGTGAGCCAATCCATTCTCAGGGTGCCCAGAGCATCCAAAGCAGGCATGCAAGTGCAGAGAACATGGGAAGGGACCAGTAGAAAACTCCTTCTGAGAACACACTTCCCAGAGCAGAGTAAGGACAGAAAGTTAAATGTGCACCTTTGAGCTACCACTAAATTCTCCTGAGTGTGAAGAAGGAAAAAAAAGTAAGAAAAAGATTTTCTTACTTCTCTGCCTTCTTTTTGGTCTTGATAAAATTAGCATTGTTAAGTGCCAGGTTCTCTGAATAGGGACACAAGAAACATTCAAATAGAATAGACTAGAATAAGGATAGGATAGGAACAGACAGAATGGGATGGGATGGGATGGGATGGGATGGGATGGGATAGGACAGGACAGGACAGGACAGGACAGACAGGACAGGACAGGACAGGACAGGATAGAATAGAATAGAATAGAATAGAATAGAATAGAAAAAGCCTGAACTCCTGATCCAGGCCAATACCATCTTGCTTTGCAGCGTTTCCTTTCTTCCATGAAACAAATGCTCTTCAACTTGGCCCCCAGCAAAGAGGGTGAAAATAAACAAGAAGAAAGTTCCCTTGTTGCTTCCAGGTGACTGGGGAGGGTGTCAGAAAGGGCCTCATCGGCTGAAGCTCCATTTACACACTGACACACTCCTCTCTTGTTAATATTTGCATTGAACAAGCCATTTCCTATGCTGACATTTTGCATCTAGTTAAATGCCAGCAAATCCAGAGAGATGTGGCTTTGACCTGTGGTTCTGCCCTTTTGGATGAGCATCTCATGCGGTGGTACTTTCATTCTAATTTCTGATATTCCACATTTTGGATTTTGAAAAAAAAAATATATATATATATATATATATATACACTGGATGAAATGCTTCAGACTTCATATTATCTCTGCCGAATATTTAATTGAGAAATGTTGTTAAAAAAGCATTTGGGTTCAAATGATCTGAATATATGCATAGATATTTATTTTCTCACAGTTAAGTGGCTTCGAATGACTTTTGTTATTATTAGGAAATTAAAGAGGAATTTGCCTTAAAATGTGTGTGTGTTTTTTTTCCTTTTCTTTTTCTTTTTTCTTTTAAGAGCGCCTGGCTTTGCGGAGGGAGAAAGTGCAGCCGAGTATTGCTTTGAAGAGCCTGGGGAGAGGGCAGAGTGGAGTGATGGGATCCTGCAGGCTGCGGAAGAAAAAAAAAAGTTCACACCTGGCACTTTCCACTTGCCACATCTCAGACGTGAGGAACACGAGCTGCAGAGAAATTAAGGGGCTTTCTAGTCCTCACAGCAGCTCAGAGGCAGAGTGAGCCTCTGCGCCAGGGCTTTCAGTGCTGGGTCTGATTACACAGCTGCTCCATGGCTGCAAGGCAGGGCTGGGGGACAGTCGCCTTCCACATCAGCCCCCTCCTGTTGCCCCAGTGGTTCTGAGACCACACCTGTGGGCTGTAGCTGAGATCCTGGAGACCAAACTAGTCTTCTTTCCCATATTTTGCTAACAGGACACATGGAGTTGAATTGGTATCTCCTCAGTTGGACACTTATTCCAGGAAGTGATGGGTGGCCAGTTCTGTAGAAGGAGCATGTGCTAGCCAGAATAGACAGGAGCCCAGGCAGGGTAGATCAGGGGGCTTTGATGCCAGTTCTTAGCTTCTCTGCTCTTGGCTGCAAATTTTCTGAGGCCTGCTTGTACAGAGAGCCTTTGGGGCCTGCCTCTGAGCTATAGATATTTCCTTACCTGAAAACTTTTACTTTAGTTTTAGCTCCAGGGGAGCTTTGGTGTTTTGAAATCACAAATCTCTAAGAAAGGGGGTTCTCTGAATTCTAGGAGAGTTGGGGACCAAATTTCTCTAAAGCAGATTCTACTTTCTCATCAACTTTCATTCTAAAAGAAGAGATGTTTTCATTAAAAGCTGAAAAGGAGTTTTCAATACACTGAGTTGCTTGTATTTGGGTTCATGATATTTTAAAATGATGATCAGGTTACAGATTTGGGGCTTTGGAAATCCAAGAACAATATGGAAATTCCCTTTACATCTTTTTTTCTTTTTACCTTTTTCTTTTTAAGTTCTGAAGAATTTCTCCAATGCTTATCATCTCTTAGCTCCGCACTCAGATTCTGTAGCTTGACTTCCTACCTGTTCATTCATTCACAATTTGGTAGGGAAATGTCTAGCAAGCACCTGGTATTTCACTATGTGCTGTGGATTCAGAGATTTCATAGGAGTTTTTCTTACCTTCAGGGAGCTTAGTAGGCAGACAGGAAATTATGAACATTGCAGAATAAAACTGCTCTGGTTTAGGGCTGGGGTTGTGGCTCAACGGGTGGAGCACTCTCCTAGCATGGGCTAGGCCCTGGGTTCCATCCTCAGCACCACATAAAAATAAATTAATTAATTAAACATAAAGAGTGGCTACAAGGTGGTCTGGGAGCTCAGAGAAGGGCATGGGGCATGGGGGAAGGGTGTGCCCCTTGCTCAGCTCAAAAGGGCTTGAGGGAGGTGATCGGGAAATACCTACCAGATAAGAAGCTTGAGCTAAGACATCCTGGCTAAGCGTGCCACTTCAGGTCCTCTAGGAAGCAGACACCAAGATGGAGTGAGACACCTATGAAAGAAAAATGGAGTTGAAAAGGTGGCCAGGGAGCCTTCAGATGGGGATGCAGGTCTGACTCCTGTGGAAAGAGAGAGTAAGGAAGCAAGGTGGGAAGAGCATTATCCAGGCTGTGCAGCTTTGAGAAAGTCTCAACCAGGTGGACGGGGAGCCTAGAGCAAAGATTGCCCATCAGAGAAGTCTTCAGTTAGGCAGAAGTGACCCAGCTCTACTCCCTTTGCTGTGCTCTGTCATTGAGTGGGGGAAGCTTGGGAAGAGTGTGGCCAAGGCAAGCATGCTGCTATGGAATCCAGCAGGAGAGGCTGTCAGCCAGTAACACTTCTAGACTATTCTCCACTGATAGGAGGTCTGGATAGTGTCCTCCCATGGCTGCCGAATTAGATGACGTTTACCTTGATGGAGAAAGTGAAGAAAGTGTTGTCCAAAAGGGTGGACAACATTGGCAAATGCTTGATGGCAAGAATGAGTTGGGCGAGGAACACAGGGTGAGGAAAGAGCAGTATCTTCAATAAACATTGCTGGGAAGGCTGGAGAGCCTTATGCAGAAGAATGAAATTGCACCCTTACCTCATACCATATACAACACTGATCTGGGCCGTGATTTTTTCATATAATCCTAGTAGCCCAGGCATCAAAAGCAGAGATAGACAAATGGGAAGGCCATCAAACTAAAAGGCTCCTGTACAGCAAAGGACACAATCAACAGAGCTTAGAGGTAACCTACAGAACCAGAGGAAAATATTTGCAAATTATGTAACAGATGCATCCAAAATATAGAAACAACTCAAACAACTGGATAGGAAAAAGAAAACAAAGAATCCAATCAAAACAAAGGCAAAGGCTGCAAACAGACACTTCTCAAAAGAAGGCAGATGAATGGCCAACAGGTGTATGGAAAGTGCTCAGTATCATTAATCAAAACTACAATGAGCCATCACTTCATATCTGCTATGATGGCTATTATCAGAAATTCAAAAGCTAACAAGGGCTGGTGAGGATGTGGCATAAAGGAACCTCTTAAATAACTGTTGGTGAGACTCTCAATTGGTGCATCATTATAGAGAACAGTGAGGAGGTTCTTCAAAACATAAAAAACAGAACTACCCTTGGGTTCAGCAATCCCACTGCTGGGTATAGATCCAAAGTAGGTGAAATCAGCATAACAAAGAGACACCTGTATGTCCCTGTTCATTGCAGCCCTGTTCCCAACAGCCAAGATATGCAATCAAGTTAAGTGCCAGTCAATGGATAAGAGTGAACTTTTTAACTCTGCAGAGTTTATTAATTCTGCCTATTTGAAACTTTGCATCATTTGGTAAATATCTCCCCAACCCTTCCACTCCAACCCCTGAAAGCTGCCATTCTGAAAAAGAACATAGGCCACTTATGGCTTCTGGTCTTCTATTTAAGTCTTTAATTGATTCCGGGTTGATTTTTGTAAAGGCCCCATACATACAGATCTAGCAATGGAATATTATTTGGTATTAAAAACAAAATATCTTGTCATTTGTGAGAAATATGCAGTTTCAGATGTGCAGGATTCATAAATTCTGAAGACTTAAGGTATAGCATTAGGGCTTCAGTTAACAGTAATGATCTGTATATTTGAGATGTGCTAAGAGTAGATCCTTAATTGTTGTCTCACACACAAGAAGGTAAGTATGTGAGATGATGGATATGGTAATTACCTTGATTGTGGTAATCATTTCACAAAGTACACATACATCAAAATGTCTCTTTGTGTACCATAAATATATAAAATTTTTATTTGTCAATTTGTCAACCTCAGTAAAGGGGGAAAGAAAGACACAGTGTGAGCATGGAAAGTTGGGGAGAACTAAATGTTATACAGTGGTCCAGGGCCCATGTGACTCTAGTCCCAAAATAAGGGGAGTAAGTGAATGGTTAATAGGTGAATGACAAGCCATGCATGGTGGCGCACACCTGTAATCCCACCTACTCGGGAGGCTGGGAGGCTGACGGAAGAGGATCATTAAGTGCAAGGCCAGCCTCAGTAACTTACTGAAACCTTGTCTTAAAATAAAAAAGACTTGGAATGTAGCTCAGTGGTAGAGAATTCCTGGGTTAAATCCCCAGTACCAACTGCATGGAAAGAATCACACAATAGTTGTCATGTATTGAGCACCTAAGATGTACTGGGTTCTATGATGCCCTACTCCTATAGTAACTCATTGAATCCTCACAGCAATCCCATAGAGAAGGTCCTGCAACATTCTCACTTACAATTGTGGAGACACAGGCACAGAGAGGTGTAGTAGCTTGCTCCAGGGCACACAGCTGAGCAGTGGCAGGGCTCAGACCTGAATAGATACTCTGTCCTTCAGCCTGCAGTTTCAACCACTAGACTTAACTTTTCTCAACACACTGGCTCTTGAAAGAGGGGTGCAAGTGAGAAATTGCACCACAAATATCTGTCGCCCAGTGCTGTCAACCAAAGGAAGCAGGTTGCCTGCAGAGAGCCATGCAGATGTGCAAGTATGGAGGGCCTTTCCCCTGCACCTGCCACCAGCCCATGACCAGGGGATTCCAGAGCAATGCTCCTATCAGTGCTATGGGAGCCTGCCCTGCAGAGACTTGAGGCCCCGCCCACCCCAGTGCACTGCAATTCTTGGGAGCCTGCCCTGTCCCCCCCACCCAGGCTAGGAGTAGCAGCACCACCTGTCCAGAGCACTGGGAAGGAGGAAGGACAGCGGGAATCAGGACTGTGATAGCAAGAGATGGAGAGAGGACGGAAAGAGGGACAAGATCAGGCTCCCAAGATTTGGAGGGGACAAGGGTGAAGGAGCTTCTGGGGGGAGAAATGAGTCCTGTAGAAGGTAACCTGGTTTGAAAGACACTGCCCACAAACCCTGACTGCTAGAGAGGCCGCAGGGTGACCAGCACTGGCAATGGGGCGGATGGTCTGTCCTCTTAGCCCCTCTCCTGAACTTCAGTGGGCAGGGGTGTCGGGGGAGGTGCCTTGTTACTCTATAGCCCCTCATTTAACCCTTGTGACAGTCTCATAGGGAAGGCCCCGTTATGTCCTGCTCCCACACTATGATATCAGGGAAGGAATGCAGATGCAGGCCCAGGGAAGGGGCTGAAAGGATGGCACATGGAGAAGTGGAAGGACAGATGGTCTGCCCCATTGCACTGCTGATACTCAAGCCCCAAGCTTGGCTGAGGGGTCAGTCTTGGCAATCGAATCCCCAAAGGCTCCCAGAAGGTACAGGAGCTGAGAAAGGTGTCGGGGGATAGAGGAGGGGTAGCTGATGGCCACAGGTGGGAGGGCATCTCTTAGAGGAAGTCTCTGCTTCCTATCGCTAGCCCCGTTTTAGTGAGCTTTTTCAGTTCTGTGACTAAAAGTCCTGGCAAAACAATTTTCAGAGGAGGAAAAGTTTATTTGAGGCTCACAGTTTCAGAGGTCTCAGTCCATAAACAGCCAGCTCCATTCCTCGGGGCTTGAGGTGAGTCAGAACATGATGGTGGCAGAGGGAAGCAGCTCACATGGTGATCAGAAAGCAGAGAGAGACTCCACCCTCCAGATAGAAAATACATACCCCATAGCCACGCCCCCAGTGCCCACCTGCTCCAGCCACACCCCCACCTGCCACTAGTTACCACTCAGTTAATCCCACCAGGGATCAATTCACTGATTGGGCTAAGGCTATAACCCAATCATTTCCCCTCTGAACCTCCTTGCATTGTCTCACGTGAACTTTAGGGGGACACTCACATCCAAACCATAATAATCCCCACCAGCGTCAGCGCATGGAACAGACTAGTTCTAAACACATGTGCTAGTCAGCAATGTGGACACTTTCTCCTTTGGGGAAGGGGATATTATTATCCTCCTTTCACATATGAGGACCCTGAAGCTCAGAGAATTTAAAATACTTGTCTCAGATCTTCAATTTGAATTATTTCTTTCTTGGTCAAGTTCACAATGTTTAGATTCTTTATGTCATCAGTGGAAAACATGAAGACTTATGGTGTCATCACAAAGTCTAAGAAGGTTCTGAGCAGAGGGAGGAGGGGCACAGGGACACACACCTGGCCTTGGGGACCCTCTACGGCAGGGGGCAGAAAAGTTGGAGGACAGTCTTATTTTCTTCCCTTATGACTTAGCCTCATCCAGTGCTGGGTGTGTGGACATATGGAATGATTTTGCCTCTGGTTTTCATGGTGATCCATACCAGTGTGCCTTCAGCTATAGGAGGAGCAGAGTAGGGAGGTCACCTCGTGTTTCCCTTTGGACTCTCTGTGACCTGTTGTGATGTCTGAGCATGCACAACCCCTGTACACACAGGCATACAAGTGCCAACACCCATGCATGCACAATCATGGATACATGAACATACGTGCTCATGTGCATACACACATGGGCACAAACGTATGCACGTGACCAGAGTAAGACCCTGTATGTGTGTGCCTGCTCACACCCAGGAACATACATCTATGCACACGCAAACATACATATGCAAGATGATTTTCACAGAAGTCCAGAAATCGGCTTCATTGCTTCATGGGCACACTTGCTCTAGGAGTCAAAGTAGTATGCTGAGCTCCGAGGAAAAGCATCCTTCTTCCTTAGCTGAGTAGTTGCCCCGAGGAAACAATTCAGAAAAATGTTTCCTTCAAAAAAAGAAAAAAATCAGATTTTTTTTTTTGGTACTGAGGATTGAAGTCAGGGGTGCTTAACCACTGAGCAACATCCTCAGCCCTTTCTATTTTTTATTTAGAGACAGGGTCTTGCTAAATTGCTTAAGGCCTCACTTAGTTTCAGAGGGTGGCCTCAAACTTACGATCCTCCTGTCTCAGCCTCCCAAGTCCCTGGAATTACAGGTGTGTGTGTACATCACCATACTGGCAAAAAAATTGGAACATTCTTGAAGGGAAATTTCCTGTCCATTTTCTTGACAAGGAGAAAGCAAAGCAGCTCCACTTGCCCTCACACTACTACCTTGGCTCCTCCTCCTCACAGAACCCAATGGCTATAGTTGCATGATTCCAGACCCTAGGAGGATGGTGCCCTTCTGTTCAGAGAGTCTCACAGGGGCTCATCATGAACCAGCATTGGTGGCTGTGTCACTGAAAAAAGCCTGAGTATTCTCGAGAAGAATCCACATAGTTATTAGATCCCTCTTCTAGCTCACACCCTCTCTTGTCTTAGGACTACTGTGAACTTGGATGTGCTGAGGCTCCCTCCTAGAGACTCCTCCTCCTCAAATGAATTCAGGAGAGATGCTCTAAGACTGCTGTTTCTGCTAAAGGATATAGGTATTGGTAAAGGGTCACTGTAATAGATGAACCAAGGGTAAATGACTATCAGGGGAACTGTACAGTTTCCAGGGAAGGGAGGGGATACAGAGACAGAGATAGAGATAGAGACAGAGAGGACAAGGAGGAGGAGAAGGAGGAGGGGGGGAGAAGAGAGAAGAGAATTCTGGAATCCATCAAAGGGTAGCCTGGTAGTGGTGGATGGATGGAACAGAATAATCTCACACCAAGAATGAGCAGGAGACAGGCCCCTCTAAGGCCAAGGGCCTGGACTTTGTAGCCAAATATCAGTCACCAAATGTGACCAGGATTGAGTTGTGAGACAAAAGACTGATGGTCTTCCGTGTTGGAGTTTGCTGCACTTTGACTCAGTGGAGTGATTATTGTGGAGTAGTGAGCTGTTCTGACCTGGGACAATAAACATGGCCATGCCCAGGATGGGATGGGAAGGGACCTCTCCTTTGGAAGAGCAACCACCTTGCACCATTTGGGAGATCACTCTAGGCTGGTCCTGCAGGTGTTTGATGTGTCTTTTATACCAGAGACAGTGTGTTGAGGTCCCAAATCTTTCATTATTTTGTTGGCTGTCATGTAAAAGACAAACAGCGGGAGAGAGAAAAACTGATTTAACCCAAGTAATAGCATAAGACTGAACATGAAATCAATTCAGTGTTATTAACAAGAATTGATCAGCTCTCCTGCTAACTATTGGAAGAGAAAAAGAAAGACAGAGGATGAGGAGAGGGTGGGGAGTGGGGGAAGGGAGGGAGGAAGAGAGGAGAGGGGAGAAGGGAGGAAAGAGAAAGGAGAAGGGAGGGAAAATAGTTCACGCAGATCCTTTTTGGTGTGTATTTAAAAGCAACATAGGAAGTTTTCTTTTTTTGTGCTGATAAAAATGCCTTTTTTCTATTTGTGTCAAATATGTGGTTCAGTATTGTATTTTCCCAATTTTGATAGAAACATGGCATCCAGAGAAATATGTTTCTGTCTAAAATAAAAATAAAAATTAGAAAAACAAACCCCACTGCAGTCATGTTGATAAACAGCTACTGCTACCTAATCTCAGTGCTAAGGGCAATATGGATGGGTGGGGACTGTGGCAAGTTGGTGCTTAAGAGTCCTCTCTGAAGGAGGCTTTTGGCAGCAGGCTGTTGTTGCCTTGGGGAATACTGAGGCTGTCTTACTAGATCTGATTCTTTGAGAGATGTGAAAATTCAGTTTTATGGGAAATCTCCAACTTGTAAAATATTAGATCCATTTTTTAGAAACTCATTTCAGGCTACATTCATATCAGGTGCTTCTAGTTTGTTGCTTGAGTCCTAAAAGGATGATGGAAAGATAGGAAATGAAAGGTGGCATTTATTTCTCCCCTCAGATCTTCCACTTTCCCCTCCAGATGCTGACGTAGGTAGCAGAGACCAGCTGGCATTTTAGACTTTAGCAGAATCAGGACTTTGAAGCTAAATAAAATGAACTAAGTGGTTTTTTTTACAACAGTATAGCAGTTTAAAAACATGTCCCCCCAATTCTTTGACACTCTTCCCATTGAGAAGTGACATGTATGCCCTTTCCCCTTGAAGCTGAGTAGACTTCTGATTGTTTTGACCAACTGATTTTGGAGAAAGTGACATTATGTGGCTTCTGACTGATAATCTGTGACCACTAGCACTGTGTAGGTGCCATCATGGACATTCAGCCCAACTGAGGTTCCAGAGGGCTCCAATCCCAACCTCTATCTGGCTGTGATGGCTTGAGAGACCCCATGTGAGAACTGTACAACAGAGTCCAGTCAATTCCCAGTAACTGTTTTCAGCCAGCAGGTCTAGGGTGGTTTGTTATGCAGTGACAATAACTAGAACAAGTGCCTGCTCTGCTCAGTACGAGCACAAAGGGCTCCAAGGGATCCGACCTTCCTAGCACTGCAAGATTCACTTTTTGCCCAACTCCTTGGTGTTTGTTGATTGGCGCTTGATTTTCATGGAGCCGGAGGGAGGAGGGAGGCATCGGCGGGAGACGGGAAGCCCCTGCAAGCTGGGAGGGCTGCCAAGGCGACCGCGGAGTCCCAGCTCCCAGCAGTCTGCACATGAGGCAATTAAAATGTGAAATTTAACCTTTAAGGAAAGAGTCTGACTTTACCTTTGCATCTTGGAGATTTGGGATGCCGAAGACGGTCCAATCCCCTCCTCGACCCAGCCCTGATCACATTTCTGTCCTATGTTTGGACACAGGACTCGGATTTGTGTACACATGGAGAAAGGGTCTGGTGCCAGCAACACGGAGCCCAGAGCTGGTGTTTCTCCTGTTAGTGAAAAAAAAAAAAAGACAGGGAAAAAAAGATTAAAAAAACATAGAAAAGAAGAAATGAGGTAAGAGATAGAAAGGAGGAGGGAGGCAGGGAGGGAGGCAGGGAGGGAGGCAGGGAGGGAGGGAGGGAGGGGAGCCCAACGTCAGCAAAGCGGTGTGCGTTTTGATTTCCTGCTTGACTTTCATCAGAAGCAGATGGACTGAATCACGTCAAAGTCTACCTAGGCAGGAAGCATTGCTTTAATTTACCCAGGTCACGGCAAATATATTGTCATGCAGCATGTGAAACTGTTTGAACTTACAAGGAGTAACCCAGCAACAGCAATTACCCCACGTGTCCGTTGTGCTCTGATGATACAAACGCAACTGGAATGGAGTCTCATAATTTCGCAAGGTGACAAAAAAATCGGATTCTGCTGTTTCACCTCCACCTGCGAATGAGCAGGGAGATGCTGGCAGGCTGTGGATTGCACAAATTCCCCGGGCCCTGTTGGCACTGCCCCGAGGAGGCCCCCCTACCCCAACCAGACGCCTCTTGCCCTCCTCTCAACCTCTGGCCACAGTTAGTGCTGAGCAGCCCACAGCGGCTTTGTCTGCTGAGAGCATAGCCCCGGAATTTCTTATCAGATTTACTGTGACAAGGGACTGGAGAAAAGCAAGACGCTGGCTGGTAAGAGCTCATCTATTCAGCCCCCACTATTCAGAAATTCAGATTTATTTATTTTTGTCACAAAGAACCAGAACTGATGTTAATCTTGGCACTATCCTTGAAAAAAATCATTCATAATGATACAACAATAATATATAATGTTTACTCAGTTTCGACTCTCAACAAAATACTGTCTGGAACACCCTAGGTGGGTGTCTCATTTAATCTTCAAAGTAACCCCATGAAGACGGTCTTATTATTCTCTCCATTTTGTAGGTGATGATTTGGAGGCACAGAGAGGTCAAGGTGTGCCCAAGGTCACACAGCTAGCGAATGGGAAAGCCTGGATTCAGATATCCAGCAATCTGATGCCACAGCCACGTTCTCAAGCACATTTGGAAAGGCAACTCCCAGCTCAGTCAAGAATTGAAATTGCTTCTAAGGACTTGAAAATCATTTTGACAGTACCCATTTCTGTTCTTTAAAAATGTGGCCCAATCAACGATTGTTATCCATTCATTAAGTCTGAATGGCTCTTTGACTGTCCTGTTAGTCTTTATTTTATGCATGGGAAATGAGTCAAACTTCATTTTGCTTAAAAGGAGCCCGGATTCAGACTTTCCACCCTTTTCGACTGGCTTTCCCATTACAATTCAAAGTCACTGAGGTTTTTCTCGAGGGCCTGGGAGACTAGACTAATCACAGCTGTGTTTGAGGGCATCACCGGGACGGGATGTTTCAAGGCGCTATCTAGATTGGCAATCAGGGGCAGCCTGTGTCATCAGCTGCCGACTCCCAGGGCAGCTCAGCGATGGGCTGAGAGCCCTTGAGTCCCACTTCTGTTGATAGGCACAGTCAGTGGCCTCTGGGGGTTGGCTGGAACCCAGCAGTCAGAAAGATTCTTGGAGCTGGAGTTAGCCAGCTGATTCATCTCATGCTGGGTGAAACCTGCAAGGAACTGATGGCGAATGTGGCAAAGAGTGGAGGAATTTGGGGTCCCATATTTGGGATAGACGCAAGCTGTTCTTGGGTTGCAAAATGTCCCTGGGCCTGAGTTTGGGAGCAGGTGTGGAGGAAGGAAGATGCTCCCTTGCTGTCGCTGGGAACAGATGGCCCGGTCTTTCCTGCAAGCAGCCCACTCAAAAACTCTGGCAGGGCAGGCTGAGGCTACGTGGAAATTTTAAAACCAAATCCTGCACTTCTCAAATATGTGAAATGGCAAAAAAAAAAAAAAGGAACTGTCCTCTACAAAAATAAAAATAAAATAAAATGAAAGAAAAGAAAAAGAAACATCCCAACCCCACCCCCCAAACCAACACAAAAAAAACCTTTCAACTAAGAGGATGCGAGTGTGCCCACAGGCTGTAAAAGGTCATGTTTTCATATGAAACCTTGTGATATTTGAAAAGTTGGTTCAATTATAAAATTTTTTAAAAAGTTATTTGGGCGAGACAAACTATACTCGAGGACCCCGTCACAGGCTTCCTATTTGCAGCCTTTGGAAAGCAGTGGCCTCTTGCAGAGATGGGGCAACTGAATCAGAGGGAGGTGGACACTCTTAGATGGAGAGGTCGCAGATGGCTCGCAAGCATTAGGTCTGTAGCAGATTCTAACAGGAACCCACCATCTCTTGGCTGCTCCCCTGTTCTCTCTTCCCCACCAGCAGCAACTGTCTGCAGTCTGAGCCCAAGGTTTTTTTTTTTCCCCAAAAATCTAAATGTCCACTTCGCCTGTGCAAGTCAGAAGCACCCAAGAAATAACATCTCCTGGGAGAAGCTCCCATGCAACCGGTGACTCTGGGGATTGGTGTATAAATGTCCTGGTTCCCTCACCCCCTGGGCAAGATAACTCGGAGGCATGCACTCTGTTTTCTTACCCAGAGCTTCCCCAAGAGATTGAGACCGAGTCACCAGCTGCAGCAGCTCAATTGATAACACACCTGCCACTGGCTGCCCCCCCTGTCTCCCTGGTCCACCTTCTTATTGGTAGCTCCTGTATTTTCCAAATAAGGTGATTACAATTCATGTTCAGCATCAGGGTCTGCCTCTAGAAGAACCGGATCTAAACCCAGGTTTGGATAAATGTGGATAGAGGAGAAAGCCCCTATCTCTGGGAGGCCTTTGGATGTAAACACTGCAATTATGGGAGCAGAACATTTTTCCATACCAGAGTCAGGTCACCGTGGCTCAGTGTATGAGCTCTGGGCTTCATGGGCAGTGCCTCCTGGGTGCCAGGGAAGCAAGGGAAAGAAGAGAGTGGGGATTGTCTGCACCTTCCCCTGGAGCAGGAGATGCTGGTTCAACCATATTCAGAATAAGAGAACATGCCAGCCTGGCCCAGATCAAATAATTACTGGGACCATGTCTCTGAATATCCCCGAAATGCAAAATAATGAGCATGCCATTTCCATTAATAATACTTTTATTAAAAGTAAAGTTCAGTTCAGTGATGTAAAAAAGCTGGGAAAATTATCTTCCCATTTCTTTTACGTTTTCCCTCCCACCTCCCTCCTTTTCTTTAGTCCTCTCCTTCCCTGTCCCCACAGGACTGGGAGGGACCAGTCTCTCTGACACTGGCACCAGCTGGATGACCCGTTGCTCTCTGGTAAAACTTATGGACATTTTCTCAGAATAATTGTTTTAAATACATGAAATAAAATACAGAGGATCACAAAGGAAGCCAATGATATTAAAATACAGTTATAAAAATATAAGAAACCAGATGTATGATAAATGCCCATTTATTAATGCATTAAATATGATCTAGTGGCAGATCTAATAACTACCATAATTTCCAAGTAGTGCAAAGCATATTTCATGATACCTGTAACAACTATAATGTGATGTAAAAATATCTCTGACATCTTTTGGTGATAAACTCACTGATATCACTAATACAACCATGGACATGCTGAGTTGCAGTTGGCGAGTGAGGAAAAAATAAACACATCATCTTAATTTTCCCCATCCAAATTGGTGAATCCACCCAGCCAATACCCATCTCCCTAGATTTGATGCATGAAGTGGAGAAAGTCATTCTTTTGCTGCTTTCTGGTTTAAAGGGGACATGGGTAGCTTGCATCTTTGTGGAAAATTGCTCAAATATCCCTACAGCCACATTTTTAGCAACCATTTATTGAATACCTACCATGTTCTAGGCACTTTATTTACTTAAAAAATATCTATCTATGTAGGCCTTTGGGTACAGGGAGGTGGCTAATTTATTCCTCAGTTCACAGCACACAATGAACCTGGGTCCATACAGGACCCAGCTTGCATTTTATTTCCATGACCCACATGCCTCACCCTCATCAGCCCCAATCCTCCCTTTCATTTCCCCTCCCCCATGCATACACTCATCCTTGTAAAATAGGCAATGCCTTTCTGTGAGTGAGATCTTATTTTCCATAATCATGCCACATTGTAGATCTCATTCATTTTCTTACTTTTTTTCCCCACTCAATGCAGTGTCACAAAGAGCTATTGAGTTCTTGCTGCACATGGATTTTGTGTGTCATTTCTTACAGCTGCATGGTGTCACGTAGTGCACCCATTCTGTTTTTCCAACTCATTCCCCTAAGGAGGAACACCCACATTGTGGCCAACTCTCCTCCATGTTGTCAGTAGTGTATATTCTTATAAAGATTCACCTGTGTACTCGTGCACGGGTCAAATCCTCTAGGCTCTCCATCTGGGATGGAGGGTGGTCACTAGATCATGGGGCACATGCCAACAAAATTTTACCAAGCCAAACCCAACTGCTTTTCAGAAAAGCTGCACCAGTTTACCCACAGTGCACAGCGCTCCCCTCTCTCCACATTCCCAACTTGGTCCACTTACCTTTTCAATTGTGTCCCTTTTGACATTTGTAAACGGTCGAGCACTTCAGACACTGGAACAAATGACTTGGGTGCATCCCCTGAAGTACCTCTGATGTCTGCCCCAGCAGAAATGGACTCAGCTGTGAGTTCAGAGTCACACTAAAATAGTGTTTGATCTCATGCTTCCAGGGTGTATCTCCATTTGTTTCTATGTCATGGCCCTCATCAAGCTGTGAGAAGCTGCTAAGCCTTGAAGCAAAACCCAGAACCAGGGAAGGGGTTATCCTACTAGGGGGACACTCAATTCAACTAATGGGGAATAACCACCCCCCAAACCTCTTGTGCTTGGGGCAGACTATCCTAGGAGGCATTCTTTGCATCTTAAAAATTCTGATGGAATCCATTCCCCATTCCCTAGAACAGAGACCTCAGTAGTCTATTGTTTTCATGGTTTCTCTTCCATCCCCTGTTTCTCTGTCTCCTGCTCCCTGAACTCAGCCTCCCACAAACAAACAAACA